GTTATAGACGCACGAGGTCACTTGATGATCTGAGAGTGGCCAGACGCACACAAAAGAAAATACAGCGTCACATGGACAAGTTGGCCAAGCAACGATCGGTATCTTTGTGCGAGTCTTTGGATCCCAGAAAGCCTCTGTCACTAATCTGGAGAACTGTCCGGGGTCTTCGTACAACCATTACTCAGTGTTACCCATTAAAATCTCTGGCACTTCACTTACGCTGCGAAGAGATTGATGTCGCAGATTCTTTCTGTCGAAGGATGGCCTGCAGCTCAAATTCCACTGGGACAAAGACACCCAAATTTTCTGTATCCTCACATGATCCCCGAATGGAGATTTCGTTTTCAATGGACGAACTAAAGGCTGTGCTTGCTTTGTGTAGACGTTCTTCAGCGCCAGAACCTGACGGCATCACTTACCGCGCTCTGTGTCACCTAGGAGATCAAGCTCGGCAGGCACTCTTGCAGCTGTACAACGACTCCTGGCAAACTGGCATGGTTCCACAGGAATGGAAGTCAAGTCGCCTGATTCCACTTCTCAAAGCCGGCAAGTCACTCTTGGACATTTCCTCTCACCGCCCGATCGCCCTCGCGAGCTGTGTGGGAAAAGTTATGGAAAGGATGATTGTAACGCGTCTGGAATGTTACTTTGAGTTCTACGAAATGTATCCAGATGCCATGCCTGGGTTCCGACGAGGCCGCTCGTCAATTGACAATGTAGTTGACTTGGTGACATGTGTAGAACACCAGAAGGCCTGCAAACGGTTATCTGCTGCTCTGTTTATTGACGTTAAAGGGTCATACGACAATGTCACTCACGAAGCCATTCTCAGCGCACTAGGAGTGGGACTCGGTGGCAGGATATATACGTGGGTTCAGAGCTACCTACAGAATAGATCATTTCACGTGCAGACAGAGAATGGCCCGACACCCGAGTACTACTGCAGCCGAGGAGTCCCGCAAGGCGGAGTGCTAAGCCCGACGCTGTTCAACCTAACACTCAATAAACTAGTTGGCAAGCAACCAAGCTGTGTACGACTTTCCATTTATGCTGATGACATCTGTGTGTGGACATCAGGTGTGACTCGACTTCAACTTCGCGCTCGACTTCAGAAGGCAGCAGCAGTGACATCGTACCACTTACGCAAACAAGGGCTTGAAATCGCAAGTGAGAAGTGTGCAGTCGTGGCTTTCACCAGAAAACCGATGTCCGCTTACGGCATATCAATTGACGGGCAGTTGGCGTCATGCAGCCGGAGTCAGAGGTTCTTTGGAGTAGTAATCGACCGAAACCTGTCTTGGACACCCCACGTAAACTACGTGAAAAAGCAGCTGACTGCCCTTTGTCACTTATTCAGGTTTCTTGCTGGGAAATGTTGGGGAATGTCTGTCGAGTCTATGTTACAGCTGTACGAGGTATGATTTACTGGATTCCTGTGGTATAGCCTTCCTGTTATATCTAACACGTGCAAAACGAACCTGCGCACAATCCAAAATATTCAAGCCCAAGCGCTTAGGATATGCCTTGGTTTACCCCCTGTGCATCGACAGCTGAAACAATTGCCATTGCACAGGGCTACTCGATCATGACGCACATCACCATTGAAACGATGCGTACGTACCTCAGGCAACATGCTAGGAATCCTTCGCACCACTTGGCAACCCTCGCTACTGAGAGGCCCCGCACGAAATTTAGTGCAATTGTATGTGCTCGTCGTAGGTCGTTTACGTCAGGTTTTACGCCTGCTGAGAAACTGGTGTATCCTCCGTGGTGCCTGACACTTCCACAAGTACGTGTTTCAATTCCAGGAATACAGAAAAAATTGAATTTGCCTTCATCAGCCCCAAAACACTTGAGCTTGAGCCATCTACACGAAATGTACAACAACCACGTGCACGTATACACCGATGGTTCAACCACAGCGTCTGGTTCTGGTGGTGCGGTGGTGATTCCAGCTAGAGGAATCACTCTGCGAATCAAACTGTCACTTGTCACTACGTTACAGCGGCAGAACTTGCGGCTTTGCGTGGCACCCTAGAGTACATCAAATCCTAAAGACCGAGTAAATGGGCTGTGTTTTCCGACTCAAAACCAGCCCTACAGAGCATGCAGTCAGTCCTTCGACGAGGTTACCATGAACAATTAAATTACGAAGTTTTCAAGCTTGTTCACCACGTCACAGAAAAAGGCCACGAGGTCAAGTTTCAGTGGCTTCCTGGCCATTGTGGAATCCGTGGCAATGATTCCGCAGACAACGCGGCTCGCACATCGCACCAAAAAGAACACGCCCTTCCGATTCCTTTGTCAAGGACTGACGCCTCAAAGCAACTTCGTCACCTGGCACGTAGTCTGAGCCTGCAGGAGTGGAACACCCCAAACATAAGATATACGAGACTATACCAAATAAACCCTCGACTGGAACTTCGACCTCCATCTGCACTTCGTCGAGGTGAAGCTTCACTTCTTTGTCGCCTTTGGTTGGGGGTTGCCTTCACAAAAGCATATACAGCCCTCATCGGATTGACCGACAATGCGGAATGCGACGTCTGCTGCACCAAAGAAGACATCGACCATCTGATATGCCATTGCCCTCGATTTGCCTCTGAAAGACAGAAGCTTTCGGACGCATTGCGACAATTGGACGATCGGCCACTCTCTGTGCAGATGCTACTGGAACACCGTCATCGCCTTTCGTCGGCTCAAAAAGCAGTCAAAGCTGTCTTGTGCTTTTTGAGGACTACAGGCCTATGTGACCACCTTTACCTTTTGTGTAGCGCCACCGCTGCATACGCGCCAGCCGATTGACTCACAATCCTCCTTTTTTTTCTTTCTCTTCTCTTTCCTCTCTCTCTCATATTTATGTCCCCTTCCTATTCCCCCAGCGTAGGGTAGCAAACCGGGCATGTGCCTGGTTAACCTCCCTGCCTTCCCTCTTGTTGTTTATCCCCCCACCCCCCACCATTAGGGGCACGCAGAAAATAGACGCGTTCTCGCGTCCCCCAAGTATCTCGGCCACAATCCGCCAACAGATGCAGGGGGCGTGACGCGTGTCGCATATCATCTTCACCTAGGTGATCTTAAGGTTGCTTTTTAAAGACGATAGTCTTGCTTGGGGACCTTGAACGCAAAACGTTTAGTCTGTCTGTCTTCACATCTGTCTGTTGCCCGCTCTTAACGGTATTTTAAGATGCACCGGACGAAGCCCCAAACGACCGACCCCGTCCGCAGCGCCCACCAGTATTGCTCGAGCTTCAGCGTTCATACTTGTGCGATTGTCAAATAAAAAGCAATTATCGCACATATCTGAGCACCATAACAACACGTATATATTCTGTATGTGCGTGTTTTACTAGAAAAAGCATTCATACGTAATTCCAGGGACCTTAGCGTTTATCACGCTGCTCTGACCATGCAACGCTTGCACAACAAGGCATGTGTTTGCCAATGCTATGCTAAGAAAACATGGTGGTGGCACCTACCCGTTGCCTTGCGTCTACATTTTATCACCTTATGATGGGCGCGCACGCCGCACGCTTTGTTTTCTAAGATAACTGCCAGATAGCGCTCATGTGTTACGTGTGACGTGGCTTGAATCGCTCGTTCGCTTCCACTGCACGCTCGAGGCACTCTGACGCAGCGCCTCCAGAATACCATTCACCGATTTTCTGGCGCAGAACATCAGATAAACGTTTTGTTCACTCTCTCCAGACGCAACACTGTCGTCTTTCGACGATATTTGCAGAGTAACATGAAGATTTTGGCGCCCATTTTTTTTATCTGCTAGGCTATGTATTCTGGAACTGCAATCAGACTGGAAACCTCGACTGAACGGTGCGTATAGCCGCTCCGGCAGCAGTGATAATGGTCACGTGCGCATGACGTCCCAGAGCAAGCCCGATTCCCGAGCGCACGATGGACGTTGTTTTGTTGACCAGCGTTAATTCGTGGTCTACTTCCTGTTTCTGCAAGATGGATGCCTCACTGTACACTTGTCTAGAAACACTGGCTTAGACGCTGTAAATACATGAGCATATTAGGTGCTCGAACTCGCAGGATCATTTTGTTTTCAGGGATGGAGTCTGCTCGATGCACTACACCCGGCGACACGAATGCACGCGAAACTCAAGAGCATTAGCCTTGCATCTCCTTGAAAGTAACGGGACAAAAAGAAAAAAACTCGCATATTTTCTTTTTGTCTCGTTATTTATGTGAAGTGTTATTCTACTCGAGCAACAAATTACACAAACTTCACATGTTGTATAGAATAGTTTTTGCCCTGTCACGCGCTAATGTATGCGACGGCCGTGCGCAGGTGTCTGCGTAGAGCACCGACGTCAAAGCACTACCGTCTACGTAGCGAAATTTCTAGGTCTACGTGATACGTTCTTCTATGGGCGCCCCGCGAAAGGAAGGGCAAGCAGCGTTATTCTTGAAATTTGACCCATTTTCCACAGCGCGTACCATTTAAAAATCTAGCAGACGTGATCGTGAATGCTCTAAGCATGCATCGCGCTTGGCAGCTTCAAAATCGTCGAACCTGGTGAGTGGCCCTTTCGGTGTCTGCTAACGTAGGTAGTACAAAGATCGCAGGAAGTTAAGGGCCAAAGAAGGTTAGTTAGGTTGTTCTTACTATTTGCATGTTGCGAGCTTTTTCCTAACTTTCTCTTTAGTGTATATTGCAGAATAGGTGGTCACTCTAGAAATTGCGCGAGATTACACGATTGTTTCAGAGTGCTGCGTCGTTTTTTGAAGTACACGGCACATGACCGCCCGAGGCCATGCTTTCTGATCGGTGAATTTTCCTCACGGCTGGCTAGTAACTTAGTATGAACTTTTAGACTATAAGCCACTTTTCTAATAATTTTTGTATCAACGGTGCTGTTTCGTTTGGACGCGTGTGTACGTGTTGGTGTGTGTGTGTGCGTGTGTGTGTGTGTGTATTTGAGTGAGCACGCGCATACTTTAAACATGCTACAGGTGACACACTTTCATTGGCGCAGGCACCTGCATCTCAACGCCGTCCTACAGGAGCCCGCGACACTGGGGGTGTTTCGTGCTCTGCAAGTAAACAGCAGCATTGAAACGCTCTTTCTCAACCTCATCACCTTCGAGAGGAGGGTCGTCAGAGCGCTGGGCCGACTGGTTCTGCACAACAAAACGATCAACTTGCTCTCCATAGACCTCGACAAAAGCCGTGGAGATAAATGGAGCCAGCTGCGAGCAATCTGCCGAGAGCTCAAGCAGACCGTTCCGCAAAACCGCTATCTCATATCGGTCAGCGTGGTTCTGCAGGGAGACAACCGCGCTAGTGACTTTCAGATCAAAGAGACTCTTAGGCACAACTTTGTAAGCATTCATTAGAATATTAGTATACCCGGCGCGAGCATCGTTCGACTTGCATGCTTTTATGACTCGGAGCCCCACCGTGATAATTGGGGATGGCGCCGGGCAGATGTTACGGCGCACAAGTATGGTCGGGAAGAACGGTCGACAGTTCTGGCTCGTCCGACATTGTACTCAAGTCTAAATCTTTTCTACAATTATTGCTCAAACATCGGCTCAGATGCCGCACGATTAACGTATACAGGTGCGGAGAACGATGGCACCACGAAAAAAAAATAGAATGTACATGCACTAAAATTCGCTTGTGCAAATATCAAGTGCTACGAGTGGCTCGCACAAACAGCATCTCCCACTACGGTATGTGATCGCAGAATGAACTAGGTGTGACATAATACCTTGATTTTGCCAAGGTGTTCCGGCACGTAATCCTCTGTGTATCCGCGTCACTCCACTGCACAACCCATGCAAGTTTCTGGTTCATGAAATGGCCTCGCCAATGCGCGGATATTTTCTCTCGGCTACAGCATTGTCTCGAATTCCCACTAGGCAGTCACGACACAAGCACCTACGGTTCCTTACAAGCCCCGATAGGACAATATAGCACTCAAGCAAATGATTTCACTAAATATATTGGGAAAGAATACACACAGAGGAAAATGCAGTTACGCTTGCCAGTATCCTTGAGAGTCGGCTCTCCTTCATACGGAGATGGTAGAGTGGTAAAAAAAAACTGAAGGCGACTTTTACTATGGCTAATGTGTGTGCCTAGGAGTGATCGCACCTCGCTGTTCGGTAGCCCTGGTGTTTCTCTATTGTTAACAATGTTCGTGGTTCCGACGCTGAAGCGTATCTTCGATATCCTCTCTGACAGCTGAAAATCTTAGCTGCTGAAATCTAAGCTACTCAAAAACTCCCCAAATTTTCATTGTCCTGGAAGCTGTTTGGCCATTCCCTTCAACCGCGTTTGGATTCCACGTCATGACTGCCCAATGTCACCCTTAACTTGAACCAGAATGGTCAGAATTTGTTTTTATAAGAAGTATGAATATTTGGATGACTAAACGTATGCGCTAGAATGGAAAAGGGTAACGAGCGCGGCACCTAAGTGCTCGCGCAACACAAAAGGTAAAACATATAATGCAGGTGCTCCTGATGCTGGCACACCACTTGCGTTGGCAAGGAACAAGCACTGATGTATTTGACTTTTTGCCTGCGTGTACATACAGCAGTTTCCTTATCTGCCTTGTCATCCCTCTATCGCATCATGCCGAATGAACATGCATTCCAAGACAAAGCTGGCAATGCTCAAGACCACTACATAGTTAACTAAATTTTGAAGGATTATAAAGTCGAGTATACTCGAAAATTAATATAACCTAAATCTTGTAGTATACTTCTGAAGCTGTTGTCCCCCCGCCACCTTGGCAAGCGTGCGAGTGACCAAGGCGGTCACAAGAGCCTAGAAAATTTCACGGTAGCCGCTTTATGTGCTTAGCCTGGTTTCAAGGTTGTGTAACATCAATACCCACAGTGTTTAAAACTGCAAAGCTTACACAAGAACGAAATTGTGGCACATTTCTTTCTCGGTTGCACGAGAAGTACGGTTTCTGCGACGGTGTCAATTCATGTTTACTTGAGAACAGCCTAGTCTCTCTTCTGGCTCATTCCAGCATGATCTCACGGCTTTACGCAGGCGCTCGTCCACCAGGCAATCCAGTTCGTCAACGGCTCCATGAACAAGTCGGAAGGGCTGGCCTTTGAGACGCTTCGCAGATCATACTCCGTGAGGCAGGTGATGCAGGACGAGTTCGGCGTAGCCGAGAGCCGATGCATGGGTGAAGATCGGCGAAGCTAGAGACCGCCTGAACAAAAACTACTTCATCTTGACAAAGGTGGTACAGCGTGGCATCGCTTGCAGCAGTGGTGAATACACGATTGCCAGCCTGAACGAAAATCTCCTGGCCCGCCTTTGCAGCTATCTAAGCCTCAGCGATGTAATAGATACGGACACCTGACAGCCTATTGTTTTGCAACGATTTTTTGTTTGCCAGGTTTAAGAGATACTTGTGCGTAGTTTCAACTACAGTTACGTTGTTTATTTATGCCTAACTTACAAAAAAGAAGAGCCCGTACCTTCTTACCTAATATTCAAGCACAGAAGCGAATACGTTTTGGGACCCTCATGCTAGCAAGCTTTTCACCTATTCACGCTCCCCCAAGCATCACACGGTCTCGATTATTTTGTAATTGCCTTAACGCGATCACTTGAAATCCATTCGTCTCAAGTGACCTGTAGGTGAACCTTGCTGAGACTTATCAGTTCGCAATATGCAGCAGTTCATCTTATGGACTCTGCAGTGCTGCTCTTAAAGCAAAGCATATTATAAGAACTTACGCCTTTTTGGCAAAGCGTCTTCGCATCTACTGTTTATAAGGAGTACTTTGTGCATAGCTCTCACTGTAAATGCAGGACTCATTTCCTATTCATTGGATCCTTTTTTTTTCTTCCGTTAAAGCTCAATATTTCAAGTGTTTCATTTAGGAGTAGCCAATAACTCAAACATACTTCTTCTAAACATCACCTCTGATTTAAGCGCTGCCTCTATTTGTCCTCATGATGTAGCGGTTGCGGATATCTTGTCCGGACATGTTTTATAATATCGTTCAGAATTTCGCACTTTCATATTTCTCTCGTGGCTGTGAAATATTCCACGACAAAAGTGCTTCTTGTATAGTTTTTTTCTTTAGTGTTCTACGATGAGTAATAAACATATATTTTTCTGCATTTTTACTCCTAGTCTTCTTACGAATCGCCGCACACGGTGGCGGGCTCGATTGCATGTCGCAACAACATCCCCATTTTGGCAATGTTCAAAAGCGCTGTTGCGCTTCAGTTTTTGTACTATTTAACGAAGATGAATTCGAAAATGCGAACTCAAGAGGATGTCAATGTCTTGTTGAAATCCGGGTCGTAAGAGATGTTTAGTGCAGAATAGATTTTGCTCTCTAATAGATATCTTGACGCAGACCAGCCAAATTTTCTATTCGCAACAGTTTTGCGTTGAAAGCGAATGCCCCGAAATTCCACTGCATGTAATCCTGGCACTGTCCGCATGCATCGCCATGTGACCCACACCCGCTTGGCTGATGAATATGTTCTTCTGGGTCAGATCTTCGTAGAGAATCTGAGGCTAAAAACTGGTTATTGTTTTACGCACATATAGAGTACCGTGGCTTCCAACCAGAAATTTAGGGAGGTTGGTAAAGGACATGTTCATTTTGCTTTGGGAGATGATTTAGACTCTAGCCAATTGTTTTGAAGAAACCCGACGTTTTGAAACCGACTTAGTTCCTTCCTCAGGCCGCGTTCACACTGAGCATTCCGGCCGCCGAAAGTGCTCCGAATCCGGTTCGGCGGCGGCGAGATCAGCCGAAAGGGCCCTTTTTGCGGCGTCTGCCGCCGAATCGGTCACCGCGGACCAATAGGAGCGCTAGTCAAGGAATTTTGAAAAATGGCGGCCAAGACCTACTCCTAATGCCAAATCATGCCATTAAGACCTACTCGCTTGTTATGCTGCAGTGCACGTAACTGAATGTTGAAACCAACGGTTGTTTAACCTACTCTGTGCCAACTTCGCCTTCGTATTTCGTGAAAGAGGTGACCGAGCTTCCTATTGGCGTGACCGAGCTTGTTGCGGTCTTGCAGAGCAAAACAAACCCACCAACGCCGCTGGCGTCGGTGGTTTTTCTGCTCTTCGTGCTATACAAGACAGCCACTTGCCAGCAAAGTAAGCAGAACTGTCTTTTCTTGCTTCTTGCGTACGACAATCGTCAAAGTATACACCACTGGATAGCGTAGTAGCGTTTGCGAGCCACGACAACAACCGGGTGACAGCGCATCCATCCCGCGTTCGCCCCGTAGTAGATGGCATAATCGGCGGCGCGGGGCGCGTCCAGTGCGAACGACGCTGCGTTTCGGCGGCAGGAGAATTTCGGTCGCTGCAGAAAGCGGATGTTTCAGTGTGAACTAGGCATCAGGGGTGACTGCGGAGGCTACGTAGCAGCAGCGTCTTCAAAGCACTCGCTGGGTGGATAATGTCCACCCATCTCTCTCTCTCTCTCATTTTGCCGTGGAGCGCAGTCCATATGTATACACTTTTGGTTGGAGTCTAAATGCACTTTTGGTTCGAGTCTAAATCATCTCCCAGTTTCATACCCAAACAGACAGACTTCTGTCTAATGTTTACATTCGAGTCAATCAGCCAAGACATCGGACACGATACCATGCAGCTTGCCAAGCGCTACATACGCATTAAGGAAGGCATCTCAGTCTTCGAGACTCATCTCGACTTCAGCCGAACCTGCAAAGAAAGGAAAGTCGTTCCTAAAAGCATGTGTCTACAACAACCTGTCTCTACCCCTGAAAGCTTGGAAGTCGTCACAAGAGCCGAACAACGACTGATCGACGGCGCGCTTGATGAACTTAACGCCTTTCTTCTGAAAAAAAAAAAGAATTGGACCTGTTCTTCGCCAAGCGTCAACTTGAGCACCGCATCTCCGAGTTGATGTCTGCGGTTGACGCGTTCGCGGACTCCGTTGCGGCATCGACGGCAAAAAAACACCGGACCACTCAGGATAAGAAACTCTTTCCTGAGTGGTCCGTTGGGTGCAACTCCGGTCCAGCAGGTAGGCGTGTTGACCTACCTGCTGGACCGGAGTTCCACCCAACGCATCTGAAATTTCAGGTTTGTCACCAATCATTCATCTCATCCACTCACTGATTGGGAAACTTCTGTTCTGGCAAAATGACACGGCTACAACATGTCAATGACGCCCTGCCTACCGAAACTTGTCACGGCTGTAGAGGAAGCCGTCGAGAGCGTGAGGTCAGGCACCAGAGAAGAAATTAGGCTGAAATAAATTAGGATCCTTTCGAAATTACCGTTACAAAGGAAAAAAAACTTGACCACAGCGGAGAACGGGGCACTTCGGGAACTCCAGCAGGATCGGAGCATTGTCATCTTGCCTACCGACAAGGGCGATTCAATGGTGGTGTTAGACAGCGGGGACTACGATCGGAAGGTTTCAGCTCTTTTAGAAGGGGACGCATACACGCATTTGATAAAGGAGCCAACTAAGCGAACCCAGACACAGCTAAACAAGCTACCCGCGGAAATTTTCAAGCATTACGAGAATCTCGGAACACTTTACCTACAACTAATCTGCCGCAGCGGATTCGCACCGAGTTTTTATGGACTACCGAAAATTCACAAGCCTGACGTCCCCCTCCGACCGGTTGTATACTTCCTCTCCATGCAGAGACCTTTCAAATTTTCTACACCGAATCTTCACCCCCCTAACCCGGAAAACACCAACTCATGTCTATGACTCCAGCCAATACGTGTAGCTAGCGTCAGATGTGAGCATCGACAATGACGAGAGGTTGCTCTCATTTGACGTCGTTTCATTGTTCATCAATGTGCCAGTGCCCTTAGCTGTTTTCTCTGCCAATTCTGTGCTTCAGGGGGACGCAAGCCTGATTAAAAGGACTCTTTTAGCGGTTGACGAGCTCTGCCGTCTACTGGGGTTTTGACAGTCCAGTACGTACTTCTCCTACAAAGGAACTATTTTCAGGCAGAACAGTGTAACCGCAATGGGAGCTTCCATCTCCGTCACGATGGCATACCTGACCATGGAGTACATAGAAGAGAAAGCACTCAGCTTCTTCTCACCGTGACTCAAGCTTTTTCTCCGTTATATAGACGATTGCTTTTACGCCATGAAGACGTCTGAAGCTGAAAATTTCAGACAGCACCTAAATTCCGTGCACCCAGCCATACGATTCACGCCCGAGTGTAAAAGCGACCGCTGCCTGCCCTTTCTCGACGTGCAGGTGGCAAGAAAGCGCAACGGCCTGGAGTTCTCTATTCACAAGAAGCCAACGCACGCACGCTACCTTCAATTTAATTCTTCCCATCCCGCCTGCCACAAGGCCTTGGTTGTGACCACGCTACTCCAAGAGCTACAAAGTTACGCTCCAATGACACGCAGCCAAAGGAAAAAGAGGCCCACATAATTGCGGACCTCCGAAAAAACGGATACCCAAAAAGCTTCATTCGAGCCGCCAACCACCGCGCCGAGCAACAGAGGATACGAAAACCCCAATCAACCTTAATTGGAAGCTTCCGAAACGCGTACCAATTCCATACGTTCAGGGAACCAGCGAGATAATGGTGCGGATCTTCAAGAAGGAAGGGGTTCGCATCGCGCACGTGCCTTCGTGTACGCTTGGCCGCCTCCTCCCCTGCCCGAAAGACCGGCTAACTATGGACAGGACCCCGGTTTCGTTGAAAAAATTCCCTGCGCCGAGTGCCCCTTCTCGTATATCGGCGAGACGAAAAACCTACAGAAACAACTGACGCAACACGCCAACGATTTGCGGAAGCTCTACAAAGAGCGCAGCGCAGTCGCGGAACATGCTGAGACGTTGGATCACCAGATAAATTTCGAAGTGACGGCCATCCTGGAAAGCGAGCCGAACTGGAGGAGAAGGTTGTTATTCGAGTCGTGGCAGAGGACAGCCCATAACATCAACTGCTCTTGCGGAACCCTTCCCCCAGTGTATACACATGGACTGCGCTCCAAGGCAAAACGAGAGAGAGAGAGGGGGTCATTATCCGCTCCGCGAATGCTTTGAAGACGTGGCTGCTACGTAGTTCCATAGTGACATCTGAGGAAGGAACTAAGTCGGTTTCGAAATGTCGGGTTTCTTCAAAATTTTTCGTTTGAGTATAAATCATCTTCTAGTTTCATACCCAACCATACAGACTTCTGTCCAATGTTTACATTCAACTCATTTCGCTTTGTAGCACTTTGAATGGTGTCCAGTAGCAGTATTCTCGCTTCCAGGTTCGAGCGCCCTTCGTGTGCTCATTGGGTTAACAAAGTAGATTTTTTTCGTCAGAGTCAATCAGGATCTTGTAGGCCGCATAGAAAGCAGCCCATGCTCAAGATTTGCGGCACCTGTAAGTGACACTGTCACCGCAATTTTCGCGTGCCTGTTGGCGTAGTCCAGGATTGCTTTCTTTCATCGCAACGTCGATGCGGATCTCGGATGTCGCATAAAAAGTAGCGCGAGGTGGAAGTCTGCTCCACCAAGGTTCACAGCAGCCCAAGCGTCTCATGAGAAAAGTGTCTGTTCTTCAAATGAACGTGTTCAATTATTTCGTTAACCCTGTGTTTAGGAAAAGTGTGTAACGATTTACAGTTCTAGTTACTTTACTTGTCAAGTCACCCATCTTTATATTAACTATTGTTCTTCTCCGTTGTCACACCTTGTGTAAATTTTAACTATAATGAGAACCATTCACTTAGTGCCAATTTTATTTTTTGAAATACGTTTTCTAGGTTCCAAATACACGAAGTAAATGTTAGACCGAAAGCGCCTGAAAAAGACAGTAGTGTCATCCGTTGGCGCCTTTAATAAAGAAGAAATAAGGGATACAATAGAAACTCGTTACGCTGGGCGTGTTAGCTCAATTAATGGGGGAAGGGGAGTTCTGCGAAGATGGCACAATAAATTTGAGGCACGCGAGCACACGCTTTCGAAATCTGATTTACCTTAAAATATAGAATATATACTCGATGAGTATGCGCAGGTGGCTAGTCACGAAAACAGCAGCTTGGCTATCGGTCATCCGCTACTTGTACTTTCTATTCCCACAGACCAACACACTCTCATGGGTGGAAATTTTTTGAAAAGACAGCTATTGTGGCAGACCACCGGTGGTC